TAAGTGAAATCAACCTAAAAGACCGCAAGGAAACAAAGAAAAAAACATCGAACAACGTTACTGGAATTGCCTGTACAAATGGAAAACCTGAGAACAGCATGTGGGCAGAAATAATGAAAAAGTATGATTTCGCATCATATTTGTATATGGGCCATGAAAATGGATGGGTACCGCCGAATGGGAATACGAGTGAATCAGGAATATCGACAGTTTCGGTAGGCGGAAGTGAATTTAGTAATCCATCGGTGACCACTGGCCGCGATAAGTCGAGGAAGAAGCGGGTTCTTAAATTCCGCCAGTTCAAATTGGAAAGACAACAAGCGGCGCGGATGCGAGAATCAGGATTGGCCGAAAAAGAAGAGAGACCGGAAGCGACGCAAATGCGGGAGACGGGGCCGAAGAAAAAAGAGGGAAAACCGGAAGCAGCGCAAATGCGGAAAACGGGGCCGAAGAAAAAGGAGGGAAAACCGGCAGCAGCGCAAGGGCAGAAGTCCAAAACGACCGGAAAGGAAGAGATAACTGATAGCGATGATGACAGTCCGGAATACGTTTGTAGCAGATGTGTTGCGTCGGGGATGCGTTGGAGAACAAAGACAAACCGAGTGCCACGCTTTTCCTAGAATAACCGAAGGCAGGGGGAAGTGCTGAGAACTGCAGAACAAGTTAATTGCCTGAGGCACGATGTTTTTCGATGGCTGTTGTTGAAGCTTCAATTAACAATTTTAGCTGGGATGTTCAGGAATCTGTTTTTCATTTAAATTATTACGAATAAAATGCGAAACGATATCATCAGCGTGCAGATTCGAGAGGAGTCTTCCATAGTATGTGGGGACTTTTTCCAAAGTTTTATGAAAAATTTCGTTACATGTTTTTGCATTTATGCAAATGCGAACCAACCCGATCTTTTCTTTATGTGCATATCTCATCGTTTTCAGTCCCCGCAACCAAACCATTTTATACACGTATGCAGGGGCGTTTTTCAAAGTGTTTATGAAATCGTTGCATATTTTTGCATTTATGCAAATGCGAAGAGGCATATCAACACGATCTTGCCTTTGTGTTTATGTTTCATCGTTTTCAGTCTCAGCAACTTAACTGTAGAGAAAATTGACCTAATGAGAACTTGGCCTTGTAGCGAATTGCTCAGTATTTCATAACTTCTGAAACAGCTTATTAGCGCCCTAATATAAGCCTTCTACCTCTGCTTGATCTCAGGCAAGTGGAGCAACGTTTGTTTTTTGAAGCGTGCCCTGTAAGTTGATCTCCAGTGCGCGAAAAACGCACGCTTTCATCGTAATCTGTTGTTTCTTAATTGAAAAATTGATGCTTCCACATATCGGTTTAATGTTTCTGCATATAATGCTTTATTTTTATTGTGCATTTCTGCATATCTGTTTTAAAATTCAGTTTTTGTGGAACGAGGGGATCAAGTTTGTATGAACGTATGTGTATGTGTATCCGAACCTGTTTTTTTTTTATAAGAAAACTTGAAAATCACGAAAACTAAGAACGGCTGAGAAATACCAAGGACGGCGTACGCGAAACCAGCGACTACGATTCAATATGCACAGTTCTTTCGAACTCATTGTTTGATTTGTTGTTCAGTTTTTGTTTTTTGTTTTGTTTTCAGCTTTGTGGAACGAATTTCAGGTTGTTTTGAAGTTCAACCTCAAGTACAAATTCCAGGTTTTAAGCTGTTCTCAGATTGTTATTTGTTGATCGAAATAAAGTTGTTCAAAACCTGATTTCGGTTTGTGAACTATTGCGTGATGCGGTTATAACCGAATTTAATTCTAGTTTTCTGCGTCATACAATTGTGGTAACGGTCAGAAATGTATACGACTTAAT